TGTGTGTGTGTGTGTGTGTGTGTGTGTGTGTGTGTGTGTGTGTGTGTTGGGCAGATGGGCTGAGGTCTGGAAAAAAGCCTTCCCGGTTAGCCCAGGCTCTGTCCTCGAGAAGAGAGGGGAGAGGCTTGAACCCAGGGTTTTGATCCAGACCCAAAAAATAGGCCCTTGGGGGACCCTCCAGGCCGGGTGAGTAGAGGACGAGTTGTTGACATTGCTGCTGAAAGGGATGTGGGTTCGACTGGAGAGCCAGCGTGTGTGGCCAGTGTGGCCTAGGATGCTGGGAGGGCCGCCTTTCTTCCCTGCAGTGTGGATGCTGCATTGAAGGTTTTGAGGGCACACCTGCTGAGTGGGCGGGCTCCTCCTGTGACCCCTGGGCGTCCTCTCCCCTTTATGAAGACTTGACTGCAGGATCCCACTCCTGCAGAGAGGCGGCGTGGGGTTGGGGAAGAGCTGGGCAACTCTCAGAAACTGTAAGTGAGAAAGGATGCTGGTCTTTGTGGATGGCAGGAGCGTCCACACTGGAACTCACCCAACCAAGCCCTCTGGCATTTGAAGTGCCTGTGTGCCAGGAGTTGTTCTAGGTGCTGAAGATGGAAAGACGAAAAGCAAGAGTACTTCCTATCCTCCAGGAACTTACGTTCTATCAACAACCCTCAAGATAACAACCCCTCCCCCCACCCCCAGAGCCTGACATGTGGGCACTCCTGCTTGCCTGGAAAGCCCTCACTTTTCACCTGCTTCGAGGCTTCCTATGAGAAACCTTTGCTGATTTGGCACTGTGGAAATAGCCCTGGCCCTGGCATCAGACACCTTGGGTTCAGATCCTGCCCCTGACTGGGTGACCTTCAGCCCCTTCTCCCCTTTGGGCCTCGGTTTCCTTATCTGTAAAAAGAGATTGTACATAATGACCTCTACAATCCCTTCCATCTCTAGAGTTTTGATCCTAGGGGGCTTCTCTTGGGATTATGTGTCTCCTCTCCCTCCAGTCCAAATGCTTGGGGCTGTTGTGGACTGTTGTGGGCCAAGTGACTTTGGATGTCCCCAGAGAGAGCCCTGGAGTCAAGGGGATACACAGGGTGGGAGGAGTGGGGAGGGGAAGGCAGTCTGCCTTTTGAGTCCTGGAGCTTGTCAGACCCCCTTTTCAGGGGGTCCCAGCCCCAGCCCTTAAAAAATCTGAGGTTCTTTTGGCTAGTAGGGAGGCTGCTGGTCATGTGGGCTGTGTGGGTAGGTGTGTGCAAGCTGTTTGTGAGGGAGGTCCCAGTCCAGCCCAACCCTGTTCCTCTCACCCCCTTCCCAGGCCTGGTGGGGAACTGAAAACAAGGCCATGTCACATGGCCCCTTTCTGCAGCTGGGAATGTTGTGTCCAGGTCAGGGCAGCTGGCTTCCCGCTGCCCCAGGGCCTGTGTGAGGCTAGCCAGGACAGCCAGGAATTGGGAGGGGCCCCGGAGGACCGAGGGGTCAGTATCTGAAGCTTCTGCAGGGTGCTGGACAGAAGATGCGTTGGTGCTGAGGGAGAATGAGGAGAAGGCGGGCTCTGGAGAGAGGCTCAGGGCCTCAGCCAGAGAGAGCTGCCCCTTTCTCCTCCGCTCGGTCAGAAGACCGGCCTCAGCCTGGGCTCGGCTGCTAACTCCTCTCCGGCCAGGCGCGAGTCCCTCCATCTCTGAGCCTCAGTTCCCTTATCTCCCTATACGGGGGGGGGGGGGGGTGGACTCCCAGGTGCTTTCCAGCTCAGAGTCTGCAATCCTTAATCATGAGACTCAGTAACTCTGGTATTTGGGCATCCCTCCAACTCTCCAGGCCTCCGTCTCCTCCTCTGTGCAGTGAGGGAGCTTAATGAGGTGACCTTCCGAGTCTGTGATGCCGAATGACTTCACCTTCCTGGGCCTCAGTTTCCACATCTGTACAATAGGGACTCAAACTAAGGGGAACCTCTGAGCTTTCTCTCAGCTCTTCCAAGTCTGTGATCCTAAGTCACATGGCCTCTGGCCTCAGTTTCTATACCTGTTCAGTAAGGGAGTTGGACTAATGGACCTCTGGGGTCCCTTCTTAGCATCTCTGTGACAAAGATCAGGTCCCTTTCCTGTCCAGTTTCCTACTCTGTAAAATAAATAACGGATCTGGCTTAGGTGACCTCAGAGATCCTGCTGAGGACAGAATCCTCTAATGGTGGAAGGAAGCTTCTGGGCCTCTCATTTGGGCCAGGCACATCTATCTCATGGACAAAACTTCACCTTCTGCCTTTTCTCCCCGCCTCAGGTCTCCTGGAACACGGGCGGAACTGGTCAGCCATCGCCAGGATGGTGGGGTCCAAGACAGTGTCCCAGTGTAAAAACTTCTACTTCAACTACAAGAAGAGACAGAATTTGGATGAAATCCTTCAGCAGCACAAGCTAAAGATGGTGAGTCCTTGACCCCTGCCCTCCTCCCCCCAGCTTCCCCGCCACCACAGAAGGGTCCCGGGCAGGGCGCCAGAGTCTTGGATGGAAAGACTTACTGTGTGTAGAATCTTAGGGATTCTGGGTTCTCCCCATCTGATCCAGTCCATCAAAATGAACTTCCTACTGACCAGTCACTCCTGGGTCAGCTAGTCAGTCAGTCAGTCAGAAAGCATTTACTAAGATCTTACTGTGTTCCAGGCAGCGTGCTATGTGTCAGGGAAAAAAAAGAAAGGCCAGAGCAGCTCCGACCCTGAAGAAGCTTATATTTTAATGAGATACTAGAGATAAGAGGAGTGAAACAGATAGAGCAGTGGGCCTGGAATCAAGAAGACCTGAGTTTAAATCCACTAATTTTATGGCCCTGGGCAAGTCGCTTCACGCCATCTGCCTCAGTTTCCTCAACTGTAAAATGGAGATAATAGCAGCACAAGCCTCGCAGGGATACTGTGAGGATCCAAAGAAATAATATGTGTAAAGTGCATGGCACAGTGCCTGGCATGTAGTAGGTGCTTAATAAATGCTTGTTTCCTTCCCCCTATAAAAATAAGAGAGGCTGAATGGCTTTCCCTCTGTCATGGAAAGAGTGATGGGCATGGGTTTAACTCCTGGCTATGCCATTACCTTTGGGACCTTGTCTAAGTCACCTCGCCTTCATTCCTCAGTTTACTCACCTGAACAACGTGGCCGGCATTGGCATTGGTCAAAGGGGTCATGAACCTTTGTTGTGTCTTGGACCCTTCTGGCAGTCAGCAGATACATAGGAGTGCAAAGGAGGCCAGTTATATTGAAACGAAGGTGCCTTGATGTTTTTCTTAAATTTGCAGAATCCAGGTTAAGAACCCCAAGCCTAGATGATCTTGAAGGTGACTTTCAGTCAATCAATCAACATTTGCTGAGTGCCTTCTGTTAAGTACCAGACACTGTGCTGAGCGCTGAGGATACAAAAAAATACAAGGCAAAAAACAGTCTGTGCCCTCACGAAAGTGGGGCTTGGGAGAGAGCTTGGTTCTACTAGCCAGGGAGCTTGCCAGGTTGGGATACTTGATTTTGACTCTTGGCTCCCTGTCCTGTTAAGGCTCACACTTTCTGTGTAAGGCCCAGAGAGGGCAGTCGGCGTGCCTGGTGACACACAGCAATGGGCAGGGGCTGGTTGGAGGGTGAGGCAGCTCAAATTCCATCCAGCCTCCAGGCTTGCCAACCTCATCCCCCTCAGGCCGTCAGGTGTTTGGGGGAAAGAGGAGGAGGAGGTGAAGAAAGAGCCACTGACTCGTCACACAGGAATTTCATCTTGTCAGCCTGAAGGAATGAGAATTTGGAGCTGCTCTTTCCCTCCTGGCCAGGCTGAACTGTCTCTCTCCCCCTTGGCCCCTGCACTGCTGTGCTCCAGAAAGCCAGGGCTTGCAGCCCCTGGGTAGCCAAGCACAGTGGAGGGGGGCAGCCATCATCAGTTGAACCTTTTCGGCCCAGCCCATCCTTCTGGCTATGCAAATCCAGGGCTGGTTTTGTACTGAAATACTGATGGGGCTTCCAGAATGGTATCCAGCGCTTAGCCCAGTGCTTGGCATACAGTAGGTGATTTATAAATGTGGATTGCTTGATTATCCCAGACTTGTAGTTCTCTGATTGTTGTGGACATGAGACGCAGACAGATTTCTCCCTCCCACCACGCTTTTATGGGATAGGTTGGCATTAGAAAGGGACTGCAGTCATCTGCTAATTCAGTTCCTTCTGTGCACCTCAGCCCCCATTTCACAGATGAGGAAACTGAGGTAAAGAAGTACACAGGTTCACATAGGTGGTCTGCACCAGAGGTCCTCTAACTGTAGAACCCCATCCCCACCCCTTACCATGTCCTTGGAATGAATCAGGGGCCACCTTCTTACCATCCCTCTGAATTTCTCCATTTGGTCCAGACTTAAGAATTCAGTGGCCCCTCCTCCTCAAGAGTACCAAAAGGCTAAGTGACTTGACCAGGGTCAATCTGCTGGTCTGTGTCACAGGCAGGACTTGAACTCAGGTCCTCCTGACTCCAGAGGCCAGTTCTTTAGCTACACTACAATCCTTTTTCCATCTTCTCTTCTAATTACATATTCAAAAGGTCAATGATTTCATCTGTCAGAGCTCTCTTTTTTCCCCACTCCTTCCCTCCTGTCTCTCTCCTCTCTCTCTCTGTCCCTCTCCCTCTCCCTCTCTTTCTCCCTCCCCCTTGGCCCCCTCCTCTCTCTCCCTCCCCTCCCCCAGCCTCCTCTCCCTTTCCATCTCTGTGTCTCCCTCCCCCTCTCCCTCTCTCCAGGGCATGCCACCTCCTGCTTAGCAGACTTTGAAAACAGTTGGTGGGGCCATCGGATGTCACCGCCCCGCGGCCTAGCTTTCTGGTGATCGGCCTGTCTCAGTTTGGCTGGGTTGCCCTTTGAACACACAGTCCCATTGCCAGGCTCACACTTGCTCTGCTAGAACCCGCCAGGGCTCAGGCTCTTGGCAAAGCCTCAGATGGCCCGGGGCTATCTCTGTGCTGCAGTGAGGCATCCCAAGGAGACTGTTCTATCTTATTTGTAACCCACTAATAACAGCTCATGTTGACAGGTTTTAGATGTGATGCTGACCAGCTTGGGCTCAGTTTCCTCATCTGTGAAATGGAGGGGGTGTGTGTGTGTGTGTGTGTGTGTGTGTGTGTGTGTATAGAAGGGACTAAGGTCTCTTTCCAGCTCTAAATCCGTGTGGTGGGGATGGGTGGGGGAGGAGGTTGTGGGTATTAGGAGGCAGAAACCTGCCCACCTCCAGGAGAGCCCAGGACAATGCATCGATGAAGTGTGGCAGATTTTAAGGTTCCTGAAGCACTTTGCATCTCGTATTTCACTTGGTCCTCAGAGCAGCTCTGGAAAGACAGATGTTACCATTGACCCCCATTGTACAGGTGAGGAAACTGAGGGAGCCTGAGTGATTTGCCCAGGGTCATACAGCTAGTCAGTATCAAAAGCAGTATTGGAACCCAGGTCTTTCTGCCTGCTAGTCCAGCACTTCATCCACCGAGATACTGGTCATAATGATCTGCTGCCAGAGGGATCCCGAAGATGTTGTCAGTCAATGTACAGAAGATGAATTTACCTCAGCTGTAGAAAAGCAGCTATTTTATTCACCCAGACACTAGTCCAGAGAAATTTTGGGGGGCCCGGAGGGAGGCAATCAGGGTTAAGTGACTTGCCCAGGGTCACACAGCTAGTAAGTGTCTGAGGCCAGAGCTGGTGCTCCATCCACTGTGCCACCTAGCTTCTCTGTGCATAGAAAATTAAAAAAAAAAATCACCGGATGGTGACTTGTCTCAGGATCGTTTCTCTCTGAATCCCATCAGCTCTAAGATGAGAAGAATCCTATCAAAATTGTAACAGTTGAGAGGCCTCTTCTGAGCCAAGAAGACCAGAGTTCAAGGCCCGCATCTGACACCACCTGGTTGTGTGACCCTAGGCAAGTCACTGAATCTGTGTGCCCAAGGCTGCGCTCTAAGACAGTAGGCCACAGAGAGTGTGCCAACCTGCACTGGTGGATGGAGCCTCCTTTTCAGGGAGTTCCCAGCGAAATCACAGGACTGGACTAAATGTCCTCACCATTTGAGGGTTAGTTTGCCATTTACAGAGCGTCTTCCATGTGTGATCTCATCTTACCCTCTCTATAACCCAGTGAAGAAGTAAGGATAGGGGGCCTGTTAACTACCATTAAGCCTCAGTTTCCTCATCTGTAAAATGTGAGCAATCATAGCCTCACTCTCATAGCATTGTGTGGAGGATCTGATGAGATAATATCTTTTGAGAGCTTGATTAATGGGAGATTATTAGTATTGACCTGCTTGCTTCCAAGCTCAGATGAGATGGGAGCATTGTAGATGGATAGGATCCTTGTTAAAAAAAGAGGTGAAAAGATCGGCCCAATATCACACAAACAGTGCCTGATGCAATGGAGAGACAGGATTGGAACCCAGGATCCCTGCCTCTGAGTCCAGCACCTTCTACAACAGCAGGCAGATGATGTGTATACTGTACTTGGAAAAAACTTGAAGAGCTATGTAAATGTGAGGGATTACCGTGACTATTATGACTAGTAATTTTTGTTTCAGACTCTGACATCTTTGGTTGGAGAAGAAAGTAGATCAGTACCTTTCTCCTCCATGGCTAATAAGAGCTGGGTCGTGATTTGAAGCCGTGTCTCCTGAATCTTTTATAACCCCTATTCCTCCCCATCAGTAATGCTGGGCTGCCTTGGCTGCCTTTTTGCTTCAGCCTCTTAGAGAATCAGAAATAGGTAGCAGAGAGTTCCATGGATAGGCAGATCCCTCAGTCTGTGCCCTGCCCCCGTCGGCTCCCTTTCTCAGTGCCCTCTCGTTAGAAAGGCCTGTGAGAAGGCCTCAGTTAAGTGCCTTTGGTCTTCAGCATGCTAGTCTGTTTGACTTAAATGTGTATGTGTGTGTGGGTGTATCTTTAAATAGATCTCTCCTGTTTTTATGTCATCTACCTTTCTAAACGTTTCCCTCCAAGTCCTAGAAAACCCTCCTTTATAACGGAGAACAAAGGAGGGGGATAGCAAAATTAAGCAGCACATTGAAGACGCCTCTCCGTATAGTGTGTTCTGCACCCAGAGTCCCCCCACTTCTGCAAAAGAACAGGGAGGGAGGGGGACAGCCACCTTCTCGGTGCTCTTCTCTGGGGCCGAGTTCAGCTTTGTAGTTTCGTGGCATTTAGATTCAGTCGTTTGGTTCATGCTGCTCCTGTTGCTTGTGTGGGGAATGTCATTCTTGATGATGTTTTCCTGGTTCTGCTCATGTCCCCCTGCATCAGTTCATATAAGTCTTCCTTGACTTCTCCACTTTCTTCCTAAGTCACTGTTTCATCTACCACAATTTGCCCAAGTGAAAGAGCCAGAAGGGACCTCAGGGTCATCTGGTCCAATCTTCTCGTTTTACAGATAAGGAC